TGGGGGTGCTGAGCCTGAGGGTGCTGAGCCTGGGGGTGCTACGCCTGGAGGTGCTGAGCCTGGGGGTGCGGAGCCTGAGGGAGCTGGGCCTGCTCGTGTGGCGTCTGGCGGTGCTGAGCCTGGAGGTTCTCCGGGTGCTTCGTCTCGGCGGGAGCCACTCTCTCCACAGGAGCTGCGCGAGTGGTTTGCCCGGCGCTGGAGGCGTGCTGCTGGAGCTGGAGGTTCTTCGGCTGCTGAGGGTGCTGGTGCCGCGGGTCCCGGAGGTGCTCGTACTGGGAGTACTGGAGCTGCTGGGCCTGCGGGTACGACTGGAACTGGAGCTGCTGAGGGTGTTGACGCTGAGGCTACTGCTGTCGGTCCTGGAGGCGGTCCTGCTGGGGGTGCTACTGGTGCTGCTGGAGGTACTGGAGCTGGAGGTGCTGCTGGCGCTGGTGCTGCCGCTGGGGGTACTGGTGCTGTCCCTGCCGTGTCTGGAGTCGCCGCGCGGCCTCGGCCGTACTTCGTTCTGCTCCTTCAGCAGGTTCTTGGTCTCCCGCCTTCTACTGGTCCTCCTCCTCCCTTAGAGTGTCCACAGCCTGTCCCGTCACAGTTACAGTTACAGCCGGCCTCCCCACTGCCCGCTCCTTCTCCCTACACTGGTCCTACTGGAGGTCTGGCTGAGCGTCGTGAGCCTGCGTCTCGCCCTGCGTCGCCTGTCCGTCCTGCTCGCTCTAGTGGTCGTGGTTCGCGTCAGCGTCCTCCTCCTGTCCCTGGCACGCACCGGATGTCTCTGCGTCCGTCCACTGCTCCTCTGCGTGCCCCTTTGCCTTCTCCTCTTGAGTCCTCTCTTCCTGCTCTTCCCGACCCGGAGTCGGACTCTCTTCGTGCTGCCAGTCCTACTGTCACGCGTCTCCTTGCTACTGTCGTCACTGACCCTTCCTTTGAGTCCACTGCTGCGTCTGCCCTAGTTGCTGAGCTCGTCGACTTTGCTGCTCGCTGTCGTCTAGACTACGCTGCTAGTCTTGTCGTTGATTCTGAGTCTGTCTGTCCTCCGTCCGTCGGGGGTGAGTGTGCCCTTGGCACGGACGTTCTTGAGGACAGGCAGGAGGAGTTCCAGTGTTTGGCTGCTGCTTCACCTCATCTCGTGTCCGTACTGCTTACCCCTGAGGGAGACCCGGATGCACTTGACATCCCGACTCCGCGCTCTTACGCGGAGGCGATAGAGGGTCCCTACTCCTCTCAGTGGCAGGCAGCTATGGACACAGAGATGGCTTCCTGGAAGTCCACAGGCACCTACGTTGACGAGGTTCCCCCGCCTGGGGCGAACATCGTCAGTGGCATGTGGATTTTCAGGGTGAAGCGACCGCCGGGTTCTCCGCCTGTCTTCAAGGCGCGTTACGTGGCTCGTGGCTTCAGTCAGCGGCAGGGAGTTGACTACTTTCAGACCTTCTCTCCCACCCCGAAGATGACCACTCTTCGGGTACTGCTGCACATAGCTGCTCACCGTGACTACGAGCTACACTCTCTTGACTTCAGCACTGCTTTCTTGCAGGGCAGCCTGCACGAGGAGATCTGGCTGCGCCGCCCACTTGGCTTCACTGGGACTTTTCCTCCTGGCACCCAGTGGAGCCTCCGGCGGCCAGTCTACGGTCTCCGCCAGGCACCGCGTGAGTGGCACGACACACTGAGGACTACGCTTGCGGCTCTTGGGTTTGCTCCCTCTACTGCCGACCCGTCGCTGTTTCTGCGCACCGACACTTCTTTGCCGCCGTTCTACATCCTCGTGTACGTCGACGACTTGGTCTTTGCCACAGTTGACACTGCTGGACTCGCCCACGTGAAGTCCGAGCTGCAGAAGAGACACACGTGCACAGACCTGGGTGAACTGCGCAGCTACCTTGGCTTGCAGATCACCCGGGACAGAGCACGCCGCACCATTACCCTGACTCAGTCACACATGGTGCAGCAGGTCCTTCAGCGCTTCGGCTTCACGTACTCCTCGCCTCAGGCCACTCCTCTGCCTACTCGCCACTCGCTCTCAGCTCTGCCTTCGGATGAGTCCGTAGAGTCGAGTGGCCCGTACCCAGAGCTTGTTGGCTGCCTCATGTACCTGATGACCTGCACACGACCTGACCTCGCATACCCTCTTAGCATTCTCGCACGCTATGTTGCTCCTGGGAGACACAGACCGGAGCACATGGCTGCAACGAAGAGGGTGTTGCGTTACTTGTGCAGTACGTCGGGCATGGGGCTTGTGCTTGGAGGGCAGAGTCCAGTGGTCCTCACTGGGCACGCAGACGCTTCTTGGGCTGACGACCAGGCTACGCAGCGGTCGTCACAGGGTTACACCTTCAGCCTTGGTTCCGGCTCTGTTTCGTGGCGGGCTACCCGCTCGTCTTCTGTTCTCGGCTCCAGTTGTGAGGCTGAGATCTACGCCGGGGCCATGGCTGCACAGGAGCTTCTCTGGCTCACCTACCTGCTGACTGACCTCGGAGAGCCGCCTCGTTCTCCTCCAGTGCTGTACGTAGACAACAAGGCCATGCTGGCCTTGTGTCGAGAGCAGAGACTGGAGCACAGAACGAAGCACATTGCTCTCCGCTACTTCCTTGCTCGTGAGCTACAGCAGCGTGGTCAGCTGCGGCTTGCGTACGTGGCCTCTCAGGCCAACACTGCTGATATCTTCACCAAGGCACTTGCGCCTTGTGATCATCAGCGCTTCTGTACTCAGCTGGGTCTTGTGCCTACCTTGCCTCACTTGCTCACCCCTTGACCTTGTTTGTACTGTTGCATATATATATACACCTGCTCTTGCTTGTCTAGCCTTATATATATATGTAATCCTGCATGCGAACTGGCCTTGTGGCCTTGAACTTGTGCTCGGAATGTGTGGTGACTTTGTGATCCACCCTGAGCTTGCTTTGCTTTGCTTGACTGGTCTTGTGACCCCTTGTTCTCCCCCACTTTGCCTATGGGGGTGTGTCAGATTTATATGACATAGCTACTGTAGGCTATAGTGGGGTAGCACATATGGGGTACAGTTTTCTAGGGTTTGCATTTTGTACCCAACTTTCCCTTAGTCAATTCATTCTCGTTCAGTTTCTCACAAATGTGCAACAACATTCAGGTCGCTCGATGCTTTTCCTTATGCCTATAGGGATCCATGCGCTTCGTTACCACTTGTCGGCAGACACAGCCGTCATCGCAGGCGCCGTTCTTTTCTGTGCGCTCAAACCAAGCGGAAATTGCTCTAGTAGGTGTATTTGAACATGGGCCACCCAAATATGCATCAACATTCAGGTCGCTCAATGCTTTTCCTACGCCTATAGGGATCCATGCGCTTCGTTACCATTTGACAGAAAACACAGTCGTCATCGCAAGCGCCGAACATTTTTGTGCGCACGAACCAAGCGGAAATAGCTCTGGTAGGTGTATTTGAACATGGGCCACCCAAATATGCATCAACATTTAGGTCGCTCGATGCTTTTCCCTACGCCTACAGGGATGCATGCGCTTCGTTACCATTTGTCGGCAGACACTGCCTGTCAAACATTATACTTGTTATATTTGTGTAGGCTATAGTGGGTTAGCCTATAGGGGGTTCACAACTCTAGGGTTTCATATTTGTACTCTCACTTCTTTCTAGTTCAACACTTCTTCTTTCTGACATGGTATTAAGAGCGTAGGTTTAGACCTAGGATCGCTTACCTTAGGGCCCACCGTTCCGTTCGAAGCGCCCTCGAGCGCCTTCATGTCCTAGCGCCCTCGAGCGCCTTTCTCCTAGTGCGCCCTCGTGCGCCTCGCTGTCTTTTACTGCCCGTGCGCAGCTCACTAGCGCCGCACGCGGCCTTTTTTTTTTTCTCGCGTGCGTCGCCCCCTAGCAGCCCGTGCGCGGCCGTTTCTGCGCGCGCACCGCCCGTTAGCCGCCCACGCTGCCGCGCGCCGCCCGCTAGCCGTCCGTCGACGGGCCCTCCTGGCCGCGCGTAGCCCGCTAGCGACCGGCAGCCCCGCCCGTAGGCCGCGCCGTCGCCCTCTAGGCCGCCCGCGAGCTAGTCAGGCCCACGCAAGGCCACGGCCCGCCCGCTACAGCCGCCCGTGTGCACGCCCCCCCCCGTCGCGCACTGCCCCGTAGCCCGGCCCGAGCCGAACCGCGCCGCCCGAACCGAGCCGCGCCGCCCGAACCGAGCCGCGCCGCCCAGGCAGAGCCGTGCCGCCCTATTGTTCCTACTACTGCTACTACTACTACTGCTACAACTACTACTTCTACTACTACTGCTACTGCAGTTACTACTACTACTGCCACTGCAACTATGGCTAGTCCTGCTGTGCTAGCTTTCGATGCTGAGGGCCGCCCACTGAAGTTTGAGATCTGGCTCGATGACTTGCACCTATTCCTCCAGCTCACTGCCAAGGAGGATATCTCACTGTACGATCACGCGCTAGGCCATGCTGCTGCCCCTGCTGCTACTGCTGACAGTACTGCCCGCTCACAGTGGCAGACTCGTGATGCCCACGCTCGCTTCGCTATTCACAACTCCCTGCCGGTAGATGAGCGCGAGCACTTTGGCCAGCACAAAACTGCACAGGCACTGTACACTGCTGTAGTTGCACGCTACTCCTCACCTGCCTCTGCTGCGCTAGGCCGTCTCTCGCTCCCCTACCTGTTCCCAGACCTGTCAGCTTTCTCCACAGTCGCTGACCTCATCACGCACCTCCGCACTAGTGAGGCCCGCTTCCGTGCCGCTATGCCCGCTGAGTTTCTTGCCACCCACCCCCCCCCACTCTGGCTCACCCTCTACCACCTGGTCACCCGTCTCCCTGACTCTCTTCGTGCGGTCAGGGACCACTTCCTCGCTCGCTGCCCCACTGAGCTCACCGTTGACCTGCTCGAGAAGGAACTGCTTGCAGCTGAGACTAGCATAGTCGCTGTAGCTGCCTCTCGTGGCGACCCCCGCACCCCGTTCTTCGAGGGGTGTTCCCCTTCCCCCCTTCTCCCCTCTGTCGCCTCTGCTGCTGCTGTCGACCTAGTTGGTACTGAGCAGGTCGGGACTGCGTCCGCTCCGAGCTGGCGCCGCAGCGGCAAGGGCAAAGGGGGCAAGGGAGGTGGAGGTGACGGCGGGGGAGGCGGTGGTGGGGGCGGTGGCGGCGGTGGGGGCGGTGGTGGGGGCGGTGGTGGGGGCAGTGGGGGCGGTGGCGGGACTGGAGGGGCTAGTGGCAGCGGTTGGGGTGGTGGAGGCAGCGGCGGAGGAGGCGGCCGGGGTGGGGGCGGTGGTGGGGGTGGCGGTGGACGCGGCGGCGGCAGGGGCGGTGGTCGAGGTGGTGGCGGCGGCGGTGGTGGCCGTGGAGGCGCTGGCAGTGGCCAGAACCAGCAGCACACTCCGTCGCCCCAGGAGCTTCGTGAGTGGTACTCTTAGCACGGGGGGGGGGGGGGTGGCCTTAGCTGCACGTACGTCATCCGCACTGGTGACCGCACTGGTCAGACGTGTGGGAGGGCGCACACCACGCAGCGCTGCTTCTCCCGCCTCGACGACGCTTGGCGTACTCAGTTCCCTGCTGCCACTGAGCTGCCCCGCTGGGCTGATCTGATGAAGAAAAACATTGATATCTATGCTCTAGACTTTGATGCTATTCTCACTGCCATGTATGTGTTGTCTACTAGTGGAGAGGGTGCTCAGTACCTACGTGTTCCGCCCGACCCGGGCATTCGGACCAGTGAGGCTGCCGCTCTAGGTGCTAGTGCGTCTGTTTCCCTAGGTGCTGGTGAGGCTGCCGCTCCAGGTGCTCGCGTGTCTGCTACCCCAGGTGCTGGTGAGGCTGCTGCTCTAGGTGCTAGTGAGTCTGCGCCCCCTGGTACTGAGTCGACTGAGGCACTGCACACCTTCACACTGGACTCAGGTGCTTCTCGCTGTTTCTTTCGTGACCGCACTGCCCTTGAGCAGCTTGCTCGGCCAGTTGCTGTCTCCCTCGCTGACCCCTCTGGGGGTCCGGTCATTGCGACCTCCTCCACTGTCCTTCCTTGTCCTGCGGTCCCGTCGGGCACACTGTCAGGTCTCCACCTCCCCTCGTTCTCTACGAACTTGGTGGCGGGTTGTGCGCTCCAGGACGGGGGTGTCCACCAGTTCACCCCTGCCTACGAGCGCGTGACACACTGCACGTGTGCTCGGACGGGCCGTCACCTGGCTACCTTCACTCGGCAGCCGGGGTCGGACCTGTACACACTGACCACTGAGTCCCCTCAGATAGCTGCGTCTGCGTCTGCGTCAGGTCAGCTGTCGGCCCCCTGCTCGTGTCGCTCTCTGGCGCACGAGACCGTCCTCTGGCACCACCGCCTTGGTCACCCGTCAGTGCAGCGCCTTCGTGCCATGCACAAACGGTACCTTGTCTCTGGTCTTCCCAGGGTTCTCCCTCCCCTCCCACCCTCGCCTGCTCCTCCCTGTCTTCCCTGTGTCGAGGGGCGGCAGCGCGCCGCTCCTCACTCCTCCTCGTTTCCCCCGACGACTGCTCCCTTGCAGACGCTCCACATGGACGTGTGGGGCCCAGCCCGCGTCCGTGGCCAGGGTCAGGAGAGGTACTTCCTGATCGTTGTTGACGACTACTCGCGCTACACCACGGTCTTCCCCTTGCGCACCAAGGGTGAGGTCCCTGATGTTTTGATCCCTTGGATCCGCGCTTCTCGTCTCCAGCTCAGCGAGCGTTTCCACTCGGACTTTCCTGTCCTGCGTCTGCACTCTGACAGAGGTGGTGAGTTCTCCTCCGACCTCTTGGCAGCCTACTCTGCGGAGCACGGCATCCGCCAGTCGTTCACGCTTCCGGCCTCTCCACAGCAGAATGGGGTTGCTGAGCGCCGCATTGGCTTGGTCATGGAGGTCGCTCGTACTTCCTTGATCCATGCGGCTGCCCCCCACTTTCTGTGGCCGTTTGCGGTCCGATACGCTGCGCATTAGCTCAACCTCTGGCCCCGTGTCTCCTTGCCGGAGACTTCACCGACACTGCGTTGGACGGGAGAGGTTGGCGATGCGTCGCGTTTTCGGGTCTGGGGATCTCGAGCTTTTGTTCGCGATACGTCCGCGGACAAGCTCTCCTCCCGCGCTGTTCCTTGTGTCTTCCTTGGCTTTGTCCCGGACGCGTCTGGTTGGCATTTTTACCACGCCACCTCGCGCCGTGTCCTGCCCTCTCAGGACGTCACTTTTGACGAGTCCGTGCCCTACTACCGCCTCTTCCCCTACCGCACTGCCCCGCTCCCCCCCCCGCCTCTCTTCCTCGCGCCAGGTGCTACTGTGGTAGACCCCCTCCCCCCTCAAGGTGCCGCTCCCTCAGGTGTGTCCCAGGTAGACCCGGTTGAGCCTGTCAAGGTAGCTGTCGACTCTCGTCCTGCGAGGGGTGCTGAGCCTGAGAGTGCGGAGCCTGGGGGTGCGGAGTCTGGGGGTGCTGAGCCTGGGGGTGCGGAGCCTGCGAGTGCTGAGTCTGGGGGTGCTGAGCCTCGGAGTGCTACGTCTGAGGGTACTGAGCCTGAGGGTGCTGAGACTGAGCGTGCTACACCTGGAGGAGCTCTCTCCTCACAGCAGCTACGTGAGTGGTACTTACAGTACTGCAGCCTCAGGAGGGGTGCTTCTGGAGCTCGGAGTGCTGCTGGAGCTGGTGCTCGTGCTTCCCCTCCTAGACGGGAGCTGCCCTTTCCCCAGCGGCTCCGAGAGTGGTACGCTCGGCGCTGCAGTCTCCGGAGTGGCGCTCCTAGTGTCGCGGACCCTGGTGCTGGAGCTGCTGGCGGTACTACTGGCGCCGCTGGAGGTGCTGCTGGTGTTGGTACTGCTGGAGCTGCTGGAGGTGCTGCTGCTGCTGGCGGTGCTGCTGGCGCTGCTGGAGGTGCTGCTGGTGCTGGTGCTGCTGGAGCTGCTGGAGGTACTGCTGCTGCTGGCGGTGCTGCTGGCGCTGCTGGAGCTGCTGGAGGTGCTGCTGCTGCTAGCGGTGCTGCTGGTGCTGCTGGAGGTGCTGCTGGTACTGGTGCTGCTGGAGCTGCTAGAGGTGCTGCTGCTGCTAGCGGTGCTGCTGGTGCTGCTGGAGGTGCTGCTGGTGCTGCTGCTGCTGGTGGTGCTGCTGGAGCTGCTGGAGGCGCTGGTGCTGGAGCTGCTGGAGCCGCTGGTCCTGGAGGTGCTAGTACTAGCGGTACTGGAGCTGCTGGGACTGGGCCTACTGAGGGGGGTGGAGCTGGAGGTGCTGAGCGGCCGCGGCCGTACTACGTTCCGCTTCTTCAGCAGGTTCTTGACCTCCCTCCCTCTCCTGGTCCTCCTCCTCCCCTACTGAGTCCACCGCCTGTCCAGTCGCAGTCACAGTTACAGCCAGCCTCTCCACTGCCTGGTCCTTCTCCTTACGCTGAGCCGACGGGAGGTCTTACGGAGCGTCGTGAGCCTGAGTCTCGTCCTCCGTCGCCTGAGACCCGTCCTGAGTCGTCTGTGTCGCGTCCAGAGTCGCCTGTCCGCGCTGTCCGCGCTGGTCGTCGTGCTCCGCGTGAGCATCCTCCTCCTGTCCTTGGCACTCACTACATGACCCTGCGTCCTTCCACTGCTCCACAGCGTGTCCCACTGCCGTCTCCTCCTGCGTCCTCTCTTCCTGACGTTGCTGACCCGCCGTCAGACCTTACTCGTGCTGCCAGTCCTACTGCCGCGCGTCTCCTCGCTACTGTTGTCACTGACCCTACCTTTGAGTCCTCTGCTGCGTCTGCTCTAGTCGCTGAGCTTGTTGACTTTGCTGCCGCCTGTCGTCTAGACTACGCCGCTAGCCTTGTTGTTGAGTCTGAGTCTGAGTCTGTCTGTCCTCCGTCCGTCGGGGGTGAGTGTGCTCCTGGCACGGACGTCCTTGAGGACAGACAGGAGGAGTTTGAGTGCTTTGCCGCTGCTTTGCCTCATCTCGTGTCCATGCTAGTTGCCCCTGAGGGAGACCCGGATGCACCAGACATCCCGACCCCACGCTCTTACGCTGAGGCGATGGAGGGTCTCTACTCCTCTCAGTGGCAGACAGCCATGGACGCAGAGATGGCTTCCTGGAAGTCCACAGGCACCTACGTCGACGAGGTTCCCCCACCTGGGGCGAACATCGTCAGTGGCATGTGGATTTTCAGGGTGAAGCGGCCGTCGGGTTCTCCGCCTGTCTTCAAGGCGCGTTACATTGCACGAGGCTTCAGTCAGCGAGAGGGAGTTGACTTCTTCCAGACCTTCTCCCCGACCCCGAAGATGACCACTCTTCGGGTTCTGCTGCATGTCGCCGCTCAGCGTGACTACGAGCTCCACTCTCTTGACTTCAGCACTGCGTTCTTACAGGGCAGCCTGCACGAGGAGATCTGGCTGCGCCGCCCACCTGGCTTCACTGGGTCGTTCCCTCCTGGTACCCAGTGGAGCCTCCGGCGGCCATTCTACGGTCTCCGCCAAGCACCCCGTGAGTGGCACGACACACTGAGGACTACTCTTGCTGCTCTTGGGTTTGCTCCTTCTACTGCTGACCCGTCGCTGTTTCTACGCACCGACACCACTCTGCCGCCGTTCTACGTTCTCGTGTATGTAGACGACTTGGTCTTTGCTACTGCTGACACTTAGGCACTCGCCCACGTGAAGTCAGAGCTGCAGAAGAGACACACGTGCACAGACCTGGGTGAGCTGACAAGCTATCTTGGCTTGCAGATCACCCGGGACAGAGCACAGCGCACCATCACCTTGACTCAGTCACACATGGTGCAGCAGGTCCTTCAGCGCTTCCGCTTCACGTACTCCTCGCCTCAGCCCACTCCTCTGTCTACCGGTCACTCGCTCTCATCTCTGCCTTCGGATGAGTCCGTAGAGCCGAGTGGTCCGTATCCAGAGCTTGTGGGCTGCCTCATGTACCTGATGACCTGCACTCGACCTGACCTTGCATACCCTCTTAGCATCCTAGCACGCTATGTCGCTCCTGGCCGTCACCGGAAGGAGCACATGGATGCCGCTCAGAGGGTGTTGCGCTACTTGTGCAGTACGTCGGGCATGGGGCTTGTGCTTGGAGGACGGCGCGACGTTGTCCTCACTGGACACTCAGACGCTTCTTGGGCTGACGACCAGGCTACGCAGCGGTCGTCTCAGGGTTACACCTTCAGCCTTGGCTCTGGCTCTGTTTCGTGGCGTTCTACACGCTCTTCCTCAGTACTCAGCTCCAGTTGTGAGGCTGATATCTACGCCACAGCCATGGCTGCCCAGGAGCTACGCTGGCTCACCTACCTGCTGACCGACCTTGGAGAGCGGCCTCGTTCTCCTCCAGTGCTGTACGTCGATAACAAGGCAGCCATTGCCTTGTGTGAGGAGCACAGACTGGAGCACAGAACGAAGCACATCGCTCTGCGTTACTTCCTTGCTCGAGAGCTGCAGCAGCGTGGTCAGCTTCGTCTCTTGTACGTGGCCACTCGGGCAAACACTGCTGATGTGTTCACCAAGGCGCTTCAGCCTTGTGATCATCAGCGTTTCTGTACTGTTCTAGGCCTTGTGCCTACTGTCCCTCACTTGCTCACTTCTTGACTCTGCTTGTACTGTGATCTCTATATATATACCTGCATGCTTACACTTGCTAGGTTGTGATCATTGTACCTCTTGTTATATTATCAAACTGCATGTGAACTGGTCTTGTCACCGCTTGCTTGTGCTCGGAATTTGTGTGGTATCCTTGAGATCCACCCTGAGCTTGTTTTGCCTTGCTTTGCTTTGACTGGTCTTGTGACCCCTTGCTCTCCCCCACTTCGCCTATGGGGGTGTGTCAAACATTATACTTGTTATATTTGTGTAGGCTATAGTGGGTTAGCCTATAGGGGGTTCACAACTCTAGGGTTTCATATTTGTACTCTCACTTCTTTCTAGTTCAACACTTCTTCTTTCTGACACAGCCATCATCGCAAGCGCCGAACTTTTCTGTGCGCACGAACCAAGCGGAAATTGCTCTGGTAGATGTATCTGAACAAGGGCCACCCGAATATGCATCAACAATCAGGTCGCTCAATGCTTTTCCTACGCCTATAGGGATCCATGCACTTCGTTACCATTTGATGGCAGACACATTCGTCATCGCAAGCGCCGAACTTTTCTGTGCGCGTGAACCAAGCGGAAATTGTTCTGGTAGGTGTATTTGAACATGGACCACCCAAATATGCCTCAACATTCAGGTCGCTTGATGCTTTCCCCTGCGCCTATAGGGATCCATGTGCTTCGTTACCATTTGTCGGCAGACACAGCCGTCATCGCAGGTGCCTGCGATAATGGCTGTGTCTACCAACAAATGGTAGCGAAGCTCATGGATCCCTATAGGCGTAGGGAACATTATCGAGCGACCTGAATGTTGTTGCATATTTGGGTGGCCCATGTTCAAATACACCTACCAGAGCAATTTCCTCTTGGTTCATGCGCGTAGAAAAGTTCGGCACCTGCGATGATGGTTGTGTCTGCCGACAAATGGTAACGAAGCGCATGGATCCCTACAGGCGTAGGGAAAAGCATCAAGCGACCTGAATGTTGTTGCATATTCTGGTGGCGCTTGTTCAAATACACTTACCAGAGCAATTTCCCCTTGGTTCGTGCGCACAGAAAGGTTCGGCGCCTGCGATGATGGCTATGTCTGCCGACAAATGGTAACGAAGCGCATGGATCCCTATAGGCGTAGGGAAAATCATCGAGCGATTTTAATGTTGTTGCATATTCAGATGGCCCATGTTCAGATACACCTATCAGAGCAATTTTCGCTTGGTTCGTGCACACAAAAAAGTTCGGCGCATGCGATGATGACTGCGTCTGCGACAAATGGTAACGAAGTGCATGGATCCCTATAGGTGTAGGGAAAGTCATCGAGCGACCTGAATGTTGTTGCATATTCGAGTGGCCATGTTCAAATACACCTATAAGAGCAATTTCCGCTTGGTTCGTGCGCACAGAAAAGTTTGGCGCCTGCGATGACGGCTGCGACTGCCGACAAGTGGTAAAGAAGCGCATGGATTCCTATAGGCGTAGGGAAAAGCATTGAGCGCACAGACAACGGGTTGCGACTGCCGACAAGTGGTAAAGAAGCGCATGGATTCCTATAGGCGTAGGGAAAAGCATTGAGCGCATTGAGTGTGGTCCTGCTCATTATTGGATTTTAATCCTTTCTTCTGGCTTAGGCGATTTAGTTCTTTATCTATATTCTCATACATCTTTATACTTGATAAGTATAGTGAGTGGTTTTTTTAGCTTGTTGTGTCCTGCTCCAAGATGTTTTTGGCCGCACCGTTCTCAGTTTGCCGTTTGCGCGGGAACGCTGGAACTTTTGCCTCCCGCCGATTTGCGCTGGTGGACTGGAACCAGTCCGTGTATGCATTGTGTTGTGACGGTGGGCGGTCCATGACCATGAGAAAGCTCGGGCCGCCATCACATGCGGTTCGTCAAATGGTGAAAATGAGGTGAGGCTGTGACAGATGAAATGCAGAAGAGGCTTGGGAAAAGGCTTTGAGAAGCTGGACTCCAGAGCTCGTGAATCACGCTACTAGTGAACAGGGCAGGGAACTCCTAACGAAGCCAACGTGATGGGAGAGAGAAATAGATTCGATTCCTCAATTTTCGTGGTAGTTTCTTTAACCTGCCTCTTGAAGTGCGCGGCCCAGTCATCATGGAGTTGCGACATCTCGCGGGGCAAGTGGGTAGCAGACAGCAAGTTACCGCTCTACACAGGCAACTCGTGTCCATACATCCGCACATCGCAGAACTGCCTCAAGCAGGGCCGCCCGGACATGTCGTTCCAAAAGTTCCGCTGGCAGGTGCGTCCGTCGACCAGCGAGTGTATCGATCTTGGTATTCCTCACCACTCCGCGCACGCTCGTGCTCTCTCCTCTCGCCCACCCGATGTGCTTCCTTGCCCCCCCTACAGCCCAGGGGATGCTCTGTGAAGCGCGTGTCGCCGCAGAGTTTGGCGGAGTTGTTTCGCGGCAAGCTGGTGCTGGTGTTCGGCGACTCGCTCTCCAAGAACTTCGCCGCGTCGCTGCAGTGCATGCTGCACGCCGCCGACTCTACCGCCGCTAGATCGTACCGCCTGGCGCAGAAGAAAACCGCCGAATGGGGCGTCGAGGTACGTGCGGCAGACGTTGAGGCGCCGTACCCCTGAAACACAACGCATATGCATGCGCCCCACGTTGCGTTGCATCACCCGTCACCTAACCATCTTAGCCCGGCATCCGTCCGCCATCTCACTCTCTATGTGGTGCGGCGTGCTGCCCGGCGTGAGTGCGCAGTTCCCGACGTACAAGATCCGGTTCGTTTCCGTGTTCTCCAATTGGCTCAACAACGCCACCAGCCTGTCCGACAAGAACGGCATCGAGCAGCACCGCATCGACCTGGACGGCCTGGATCAGCGCATCAAGGACTTGCTGCCCATCGCTGACATCGTCATCTTCCAGGTCAGTTTGCGCCCCGACTCGCTTTCGCGCCCACCCTCGCATCCGCGCCCTGCCTTGCTTCCGCGCCCTGCCTCGCTCCCGCGCTCTGCCTCGCATCCGAGCCGTGCCTCGCATCCGCTCCTTTCCTCGCATCTTCGCCCTGCTTCGCATCCGCTCCTTTCCTCGCACGTTCGCCCTGCCTCACATCCGCTCCTTTCCTCGCATCTTCGCCCTGCCTCGCATCCGCTCCTTTCCTCGCATCTTCGACCTGCCTCGCATCCGCGCCTTTCGTCGCATCTTCGCCCTGCCTCGCATCCGCGCCTTTCCTCGCATCCGCGCCTGCCGTCGCGTCATCCCGCAAGCTCCGCTTGGCAAAGATCAGCGTAGGAAGGAGAGCTAACAGCGAGCCCACTTCGGGTTTCCATAGTCCATTTCTCTCCGTGCTGTGTGGCGCAGGCGACGGCGTGGTGGATGCCGCCCATCAACCGGTGGTACGTGGGCGGCAAGGAGGCGACGATGAAGGCGACGGCGGCATACGAGCGCGGACTGACGACGCTGCGGGACTACGTGGCGGGCAGCGGCGGCGGGTTCAAGGGGCGCGCCGTGGTGATGGGCGTGTCGCCGTCGCACTACGACTTGCCCGTGGCGGGCGTCAAGAAGGGGTCGTGCAAAGTCAACTCCATGCTCACCAGCGCGCAGGTACGTGGACGCAGGCTGGAAGGGAAGCGCAAGTGGGAGCGGGGAGAGCAGATGGTAGGGGGAAGCGCGGGTGGGAAAGGGAAGCGCGGGTGGGAGGGGAAGTACGGGTGGGAAGGGGAAGTACGGGTGGGAGGGGGAAGCGCGGGTGGGAGGGGGAAGCATGGGTGGGAGGGGGAAGCGCGGGCTGGAGAGGGAAGCGCGGGCGGGAGGGAGAAGCGCAGTGGGAGGGGAGAGAGCGAGGGAGGGTTGGAGCACCTGTGGGAGAGAAGACCAAAAAAGAGGGAAGAGGAGAGGTATGACAACCACCTTTCTTTTATTTTACAATGAAGGGGCTCCGTGTCAGACCTCCATTCCTAACGTCTCGCCCCGTGCCTCCATACCAACCTGCCTCCTCAGACAGCCACCGTGCGCAGTGGAGACAGCTCCTCTAGTGATCTGCGGGCCGTCCAGCAGCGTGTTCTCGGGGGGTCGTCGGTGGTGTACGTGGATGTGAAGCCCATGAGCGACTGGCGGCCCGATGGACACATCCAAAACTGGAGCGTCAAAGGTGAGTTCAACTTCAAAAGCAGTATGTCTAACTGGCAAGATTATTATGAACACAGTGCTCGTTTGATGTCCTATTACCAGTACAAGAATTTACGTGGGCCACACTGTGTGACCAATCTAATTCCCCGGTTTTGCCACAGGGGGAGCACCAGTTACAAAGAAGAACGACTGCCTTCATTGGTGTGAAGGAGGAGTTACAGATGCTTGGGTGGAAATGCTCTTCAACAAGCTCCAATAGATTGTGTTCAAGCTCTGAAGTTGGTCCTAGAAATAAAAGACAGCGAATGTCAAACCTATTTTGTGCTTTCAACTATGAAGTGCCCCTAGTTTCTTATTGTGCAACTATGCATGAAGGGACGCATGTGTAATAATTTTGACTTTGTGAATTATATCTAATGTATACCTAGTGCAGAAGTGTAGTGTGTTATATGCGTAAGTTTCCTGCTTCCAACGGATAGCTCCTTCCGCGCCAACGTTTTCGGAGTTGGTGGGCGTCTGCAACTCCAGATGTTCCCACGAGAACTGTGTGGGAGTTTCGAGCCGCAGGTGCCAGGTCCTACCGTTCTCTCCACTGACCACCGCTCCGCAGGCACAGACAATGACTTATTCCACGTGGGATTCCGTAAATGGCCAGTATTTTCCAGGCATGCTCTTCGCCACGGCTTCCCAGACCTCTGTGTGGTCGTGTCGTTGACCCCTTCGAGATCCTCCCCCACCTGAGATGCATGCGACTGCCCGCAGATGCGCACACCACTTTGTGGTGCGAAACGACATCCCCTCCTGCCCACGCTTCTGTCCCGTTGGGCGCTGTTCCCCTCCGCGCACTCCCCGTTTCCCCGTCTCCCGCACTCATGAACTCCGTCCAACCCTCTGCGGTAGCAGTGAATTTCTCCCCCACTCCTCTTCACTCCCTCCCCCAACCTTGGCGCGCGCGATCCCCGCTTCCAGTCTGGCTTCAGTAACTCCCAGGACTATTTGATGGATCCTAGGTTCAGTCTTTCTTGAGCTTCCACATCGTTTTAGGCGTTTTTGGGATTGTCGTGAGACAAACCTTGTACCTTTGTACATATTGTCACACCGTTTATCCGTCTTGTCAGGCTCTCTATATTTTGGCTTTGGAGTTCAGTTGCTCCTGTCTTCCCTAGCACATACTTCGTAATCCTCGACCAGATCGACTACCAAGGCAATGGCTGGCAGCTACCCGCCGATTCTTCGAATGCGCTGCGTGGCGCAGACGTATGATTGGGGCATCAAGGGCAGTGGGAGCACGGTGGGTCGTCTTTACGCGCTGGGCACGAGCGGCAGCGCGGAGGCGGCTAAGGACGACGTGCCGTACGCCGAGCTCTGGATGGGCACGCACCCAAGCGGGCCGTCGCTTGTGCTGCCGTCCGCGCAATCGGATGAGGTCGACGCCTCGTGCCCCGCTCTCGTCAAGGCCGACGCCGCAGCGGGCGAGCCGCAGCTGTTGCAGGAGTGGCTCGACGCGCACCCCGAGGCTCTGGGCGCCACGGTGCAGCACAAGTGGCCCGGCCAGCTTCCATTCCTCTTCAAGGTACGTTGCTACATGATGTGTGGATCGGGTTTCTGCCTTACTAAAAATACTCAGGATGTGATCGTTGAAACCCTAAAATTGTCTTGTGGAAGCTGGCGGCTGCCATTCTATCTTTCCGCCTCTTCCTTAATATGTTGCCGCAATATTACGCGTTAGGTAACCTTCTTTGAGAAACATATCGCTTGCCCATCAATCAGTACTCAGTATGCCTCACCGTAGTACGCTACAGCAACAGTGTGCATGCTGACGTGTCATCGTGCTTTCCCGGCAGGTACTGAGCGTGGCGAAGGCACTGTCGATCCAGGCGCACCCAGACAAGCGGCTGGCGGAGCGGCTGCACGCGACGCAGCCGAAGAACTACAAGGACGCCAACCACAAGCCCGAGATGGCGCTCGCCGTCACCAACTTCGAGGCGCTCTGCGGCTTCGTCACCTCGCGGGTGAGGGTCGCGGAAGGGTGCGCGGGAAGGGTGCGCGGGAAGGGCTCTTGGTCAATATGAGAAGTGGGTCGCGAGGTCGGTGAGCGTGGCTAGTATGCGAGGCCGGTGCGCGTGGCTAGTATGCGAGGCCGTTGCGCGTGGCTAGTATGCGAGGTCGATGCGCGTGGCTAGTATGCGAGGTCGATGCGCGTGGCTAGTATGTCAGGTCGATGCGCGTGGCTTGGCTAGTATGTAAGGTCGATGCGCGTGGCTTGGCTAGTATGTAAGGTCGATGCGCGTGGCTTGGCTAGTATGTCAGGTCGATGCGCGTGGCTTGGCTAGTATGTCAGGTCGATGCGCGTGGCTTGGCTAGCATGTCAGGTCGATGCGCGTGGCTTTATGCGAGGTCGGTGCGGCGTGGTAAGCATGCGAGCGCGCGT